ATTGTCTGTACTAATTTGTCTTTTATTCAAGTCAATTTAGCCAATAGACATAACAATTATTTTTTAATCAAAATACTCTTCTATTAGTTTTGCCACCTTTGTAGTTTCGTCAGTTTCTTTACCTTTCGACACCTTTCGCCAGTTTCGACACCTTTCGTCAGTTTCGACACCTTTCGACAGTTTCGGCATTTGAGATTTTAATTGACGAAAGTCAAACTAGGCTTCAACTTTCGTCAGCGCGAAACCTCGAGGTTTCGTCTAACAACTATACTATAGTAAACTGAACTCAGCGAATATCTGACACGTTCATAACTACATTTGAAATTTGCACCGATTTTATTCATGCGTGGAACAATATATTACTTATTTCTGAGGATAATTATATCTATTCTTTTTCTTTTTTGAACATAATTATACCTATTTTTTTGGTGAACCTGACATCAACCTTACTGGACATGAGCGCAAACCTCCTACTGTATTTTTATTTCAAAATAAATAATATTACTAAAATGACTTCCTGGATTCTTATCTGTGAGCGCTATTGTTATACAATTAATAGATCCACATGAGTAATTGTATGTTTCATTTCGATATAATCAATCGACTATTTGATTTTTTTTTTGATTAAAAGTTTGAAAACAATAATTATGGATAGGAAAATTAGCAAATACTACAGATTTGTATGAGGACAAAATACTAAATTGCAAAATTTTAAGGTTCTTATTTATACTTCTATACTATTTTTTTCTTGCTTATTGCCCAGATTTCAGATTCGGAATTTTTTAAACTAACGAAAAGTAAAAGTCGCTGGCTAAAAAAAAAAAAAGAGAGAAAGATAAAGGAAAAAACGAAAGAGGTTCCGCCGTTTGTAATAAGTTAAACTTTATGAAATACGTAACTTTGAAAAAATTGTATAGAAATATAATAAGAACCGGGGAATAACATATACATATCGGTCCAATAGTACGTATTGTCAACTGTAAAACGGCGAGTCTGTCGCTAATCGATCCGAGACGTCGTGTAACCTACGATCGGCTTAGTCGAATAGAGGCGTTTAGATTTGGCGAGGGGTGATTTTAATCGTAGATATGTCTTCTTTACTATATCAGGGACTTAATACAATTCACTAACGCTTAAGCTTTCAATCTATTATCAATAATTTACAAAAACCTGTGATCAAATGTCATAAAAGATTGGGTATCTTAAATCGGGTTTATCACAAACATAGTGCAAAGTTATATCACTAATCAATTTTTTAAAGTGATTTTTCCGATTTTCCCAAAATCACTATTTCTAATTAAATTACTATAGAAAAGTGATATCACACTATTTCTTATTTCTCTTGAAGTATCATATATTTTCAAATTCTGTAAACTGTATATGTTTTATTATATATATGTTCAAAAAGTAACAACATTAAATTTTACATTTACTAGTACAAAATTGTAATGATCAAATTTTTATATTTCAGTATTTAGCTTAGAAGTTGTATTTTTCGTGAAGATAATCGTGCCACGAGTTTAGTGATAAAAATTTTGATGAGATAATTATCTGATTCGGTATTATAATTTTTTATACTAGTATATGAAAAATTTAACGTTGTTACTTTTTGAATATATATTTTATAAAAAGCACATACAGTTTACAGAATTCAAAAATATAAGAGAAATAAAAAATAGTGCGATATAAGAAAATAGTGATTTCGGAAAATCAGAAAAATCACTAAAAAAAATTGATTAGTGACCTTCACTAAATAACTGGCACTATGTGTGTGATAAACCCGATTTAAGATACCCCAATAAAAGATCATACTAAATGAATTCATAAAAATTTTATACCTTCATAAATCTTAATATATTTTTCTATAGGGTCGACAACATTTCCAGTGAATATATTGTATATTTCTTCCATAAGGGAGCCAACACAATATACATCAAATTTTTTATAAAATCTGGGATGTTTATATTTAAAATTTTGTCCCTTTAACCTATTTAAAAGCCCATAATCTGCAAGCTTTATATTTTTATTATGTATAAATATATAGTCCGAACGCTATTGAAAATAGATATATTAATTTAATAACAAATTAAAAATAAAAAAGGATCCAAAATTACAGTATAATAATATCTTAAACATTACCAATCCAAGATTAAATATTCCTTTAGCATGTAAATATCTAACAGCACTTGCAATTTGCAATGAAAATTTAACCATATCATTCCATGAAAGTTGTTGTGAATTTTCATGTAAATATGATTTTAAAGTTCCACCGTTGACGTCCTCAAAAATTAACATATAAGGTATAATACTTGAATCTCCTTCATATGAATTAAAAATATAATGATTAACGTAAAATTCGGTTTATAAATAAAGAACCTAAAATATGTATTATTACCTTCTTTTCTAGTAACACCATTAAACCGTATAATATTAGGGTGTATGTCCATTTTATGATATAACTTAAGCTATACATACGTATTGATTTATTAATGATATAAAAATATAATAATAAATCTAATTTGATGTAACATAGAAAATTACCTCATTAATGACTTCATTAATCGTTAGATAATTATTTTCGATTGATTTTAATATAACGGTAATTTTATTCTTAAAAACAGCACGATACACTTTTGTAAATCCCTCATTTTTAATTAATTCAACGATCCTAAAACGAGTGTAATCATGACAATTAATGTTTTTCTCAATAATATATTTTTGAAGTTGTTGAAGTTGGTTGCTTGTTGCGCTCATCTTAAGTTCTTATAGTAACGATAAAACAAATTGTAAGAATTACATTTTTAGTAAACACCGACCGTCACGGCCACATGCGGATAGACTTTTATCCTAGTTGCACAATCGTTATTATTCCGCATTTTAATCATCTGATATTTTATATACGCAACTTTACATATGTATCACATTAAGATACTGTGAACCGCAAAAATGTGCCCCGGTAACACGTGCGAGATGATGATCGAAGCGGCGCAGTATCAAATTAATGGATGGGTTGATCTTTTGCTTAAAATAGATATCCCGGTAGT